TGCTCTTTAGCTCAGCAGAGACGTCTTTTACAGCAGATTTCCCAAAAGCAATCCGTCATCTGATCTGTAACAATGTTACATTATGATTCATAACAGTAGCAAAATGACAGTTTTGAAGTAGCAACGACAATAATGTGATGCTTGGGGGGTTACCAGAACATGAGGAACCGTATCAAAGGGTAGTGCATTAGGAAGGTTGAGAGCCACTGCTCTACAGTCTGTGCCACCCTAAGTAGGGCCTACTCCCTTCAGATAAGGATAGTGCATTGTGTCCCTGAAGGAGAGCCCAGAGACAAGGTCAAGCCAACTCAAGCAGGACCAAGGTTAGGCTGCCATCTTGAATCTAGGGTCCGCCCATCTTGTCACAGGTGTACCCTTAGTGTCACCCCTTCCGATTGCAGGTACACCCCCAGCTTGTCCACCACTGATTGATGTATGCTGATTGTACAACCTCTTCCCGTTATGATGTAATCAGGGGGGGCTTGCACATCCCCGAAAGTGTATATATGCTGTGATTGGAAATATACTCTCTCTCTGTGCAGACCTGGCTGCTGAGATCATGGCCGTCCCGGAGGTGAGCATGCGGCCATGAAATGTGTCTGACTCCTTTATTTTACTCGCTTTCCTATCTCTCCTATCTTCCACGACTTTATTATAATCTTCACATAGTATCGCTGTACAATTGCGCCCATGGACCCCATGGTTGTCAGAGGCTGGTTTACGCTGACCTTTCTGTGAAAGGGTAACCCACGCTGAATGCTGTGATCCTTGACCCGCAGGAGTAGGTGCTGCAAGTCCTTTGCGCCTTCTGCAGCTCACAGGTTCTCAATGAGTCTCTCCAATCCTGATGCCACCTTCTCCTTCGGACTGTCCAGCTTCTCAGATGATTGGGTCAGCCTACCGATTGGATACGTGTGGTGAAAGGATCCACCCCTGACACACATTCGTTTTCCTAGTGCAAACCCTGCAGGAGCTCCCTGGTTCTATCCAGTGACAACGTCTCCATCTGTGGACAAGTTCTAGATGAGCATGGTGGAATGTTCTGGAATCTCCATTCTTTGTAATGGCATCTATAATTTATTATGATCCACACAGTGGGATGTCTTTGCCGAGTCAATAAAATACAGGTAAACATCTTTCTGGTATTCCCAGCTTTCGGCCAAGAGTCGGTTGACATCAGCCATGATGTTCCTCATTCTACCTATTTCTGAATCTGGCTGGAATTTCCGGCAGTTCACTCTTGAAATTTTATTAGGCATTGTATTTTATTTTTAATAAAAAAATGTCTCATTGCCATATAATTCACACAACATACATGCAGCTGTTCTTTGAAGTCTTTTAAGCAAAATTATGTTTGCACTTGCAATTACAGTGAACCCTCGCCACTTCGCGCTTCGACTTCCGTGGCTTCACTCTATCGCGGTTTTGGCCTAACAGTGCATGCTCTGTCATTACTGCCACTGATTGGCTCATACTGTACACGCTTGATGCCATAAATAATATAATAAATAATAAATGATAATTGTAACGTCCAAAATGTTTTACTGTATTTTCCCTTTTTCGTTTAATAAATTGGGTAATACGAGTGTAATGGTGACTAAAGGGTGTTTTTCACGTCCTCTATGCTCTAACTACGAAAATATTTGATTTACAAATAAGGAATCCTACTTCGCGGAATTTCATTTATCACGGTAGGGTCTAGAATCAATTAACTGCGATAAACGAGGGTTCACTGTATATTGCTTGCTAAAATTAAAATTCCATTGGATCTCCCTTTTTTGTAAAGAGCACAAATAAGGGTCTCTTATTTGTTTCCCAAATTTCTTACCATAGCTAGGTGGGCACTGGCAGCCTTTCATTGCCTGGCAGAAGCAGGTCCGATGCTGTGCTGTCAGCTCCTACAGGCTTGTTTTCACCGAAGCCATCGTGTGGCGTGTGGCTTGGACGTCTTCCCTGGGATCAGCAGTTCTCGACCCTATGCTACTTCCTGCAACAGTTGGCCAGAGGCCAGTTTTCTTTCTTCTTTTTGGTACAGCGGCTTTGCATATGCCTTCCACTTTCGTACGTCTGGTTCCCTCATCACTCCCTCTTTTGCCCGCAGACTCCTTCAGGGTGACAACTCAGCAAGGCCCGACTCTCTCCCCGCAACGTGTCCCTCCCGTCTCGCGCTTCAGGTCTCTGTCCCTGTCTGGAGATGTCCTTTGAAATCTTTTGTTCAACAATTTGATTTCATCTTTTTTTCTTCTTCCTTTTTCTATGCACGTCAGCGACTCTGTGCTCAAGTTTGAGGCTCTTCCGATATCTGTCTTGATCATTTCTTTCTTCCCTGTCCTCCCCGCACCCCCACACAAACACGCCTTTAAAAACATTTAAACTCTGTCTTGTGCGTTAGGGGAAGGTTGACAGAGAAGATCCGTTCTTCCGTCGGCAGCCCACAGGCATTTTGCTTCATCTCACTGAGTGCAGTCTCCACACGGTCACATCAACGCATCCCACTTCCTCCTGGTGCCTCCTGTTCCCCAACCTCCTCCTTTCCTAACCCTTCTAACCGTCGGCCTTGGGGGTCCGGCTGCCCTTCTGATCCCATCTGGCTGATGACTCGCAGGCCTCTGCCCAGTGTTAGTGTCACCCCTGGACCTGTCAGTTGTTTATCTGAAAACTGCACCGTGGGGGGAGAGCTAGCTCACTTCTAGACCTGAAGGGTGACTGCTTTGAGGGTTGCTTTTCTCGACCATCTCCCACATTGAGACCAGGGCCATGAGGTGTCCCCAGGTGTGGCAATTACATAATCTTCAGTCAACTTGCGAAGGGGTGGAGTCTAGCCTGTCAATCAGGTCTCAGTTTGATGACCTCATTTGGAGGCTCTAAGGAGATAAATAAGTTGCTGGGGTCGGAACACAGATATATTCCCTATAAGACCTTCCTGTTGACACATGGAGCTACGCTGATGGAGCCAGAGCCCTGGAGCTGGAGGAGCCATGTGGAGACCCAGGCCAGCGCTGAGATGTTTCCACCGCCACTGGATCCACAAGACTTTATACCCACTGGCCTGTGATCTTCCTGCATTTGGTGTCATTGCACCTGTTGCCTGAGTTTGAAGAGGAATTTACATACTGGTATCAGGCATGTGGGCTAATATCGGACTTATGGACTTGATCTGGACTGGGCTCGGATGTTTTTTGAACATATGGTTACTCTGTTATAAAACTCTCTTACACACATATTGAGTGCCTAGGAATTTGTTTCTTTAGTCTACCTGGACTAATACACCAGGAGTGCTTCAGGTCCTAGTGATCCCTGGCTCTGCCTCTGCTCTGTTGGGGAGCGAAGATACGGAGTGGCTAGATGGAATGAGGCCGAGGCCCCACCCTAGAACATGACGAGCCACCCTTAGTATGCTTACTGACCAGCCCCCCGCCAGTAGCTCAGAACCTCCCCATCTCAACTGGGGATGTTCCCAACATCCATAAACACTTGGTGCTCCCAGCTGCCATCTCTTGAATGAAGGTCTGCAGAGACAGGGCCAAGGCGCCGGATTTGGAGACAAGGCCTCAGGTGCATGTGGTGAGTTGTCCTTCCTGTGCTCCTGTGGCCAACAGGATGGGGGCCCACCTGCATGCCTAACACCCTCAGCCTGCACCACTCTGAGAAGAGAAAGCTCTGGGAGAGAAAGGCTAACGCTGGCTACCAGAAGCCTGGACACTAGATCTGCTCCATCTGTTTTGTGACCAAGTCAACTAAAGAGCCGGTTGGTACCTCTCTCTAAGGAGGAAAGGGGACTAACTCTCTGCTGGATTGTCCTGTGGGCTCTGTTCAGGGACCACCTTCTCAGGGTACTTTCCCTAACTTCCTGCGTCTCCCTCTGGGCAGCAGCACCTCAGAGGATGGTTCAGTGTAGCTAACCACAGGCAGGCCTGGTTCCCACCTGACCCCCAGGAAGACATCCACCACCACCTATGGGAGAAGTCTGTATCAGATCATGGGCTGCTGTGCCCCATGCAGCTGAAGCACCAGCACCTATTGTGCTGGGCAAGATGGCCCTGTGAACCTGGGTAGCCAGACCCAATGGCCCTGAGTCTCCAGACCCAATGGCCCCGTGTCCTCTTCTCCCTCACTGCCCAGGGCCAGCCCAGTTTGTACATTGAGGCCTCGAGGTGAATTCAGCCTGCAGCCCCAGGAGCAGATGGGGGCCTGTGTGCTCTGCCGAGTCCACGAAGGTCGGGCCTCCCCCAGCCTGGCATGGTCGAGGTATGACAACATGGAAGGAAGCAGCTATTAGCACTAATGAGGCAGGCGGCCTGAAAGCCTTTTATTCAGAGCTGCCTGCCCACCCAGAGAACAGTCCGTTCTGCTTCCTTGGTTTCCAGGAACCGGGGGTGGGGGGGTGGGGGGGGCAGGAGCAAGGGAGGGGGTCTTGGAGAAACATGGAGGGAGAAGGAGAGGGGGGAGGGGAAGTGGAGCCAGTGAGGCAGGCAGGAGAAGCTGATGTTGCCTAGGTGGGCATCTCCCCCTTTCTTTCTAATAAAGCCCAGGGTCTGGGTGCCCCCCACCTCCACTCATCCTGGCTCCAGCCACTGGGCCGTCTCCCCCCTTCGAGATCCCTTGACCCAAGTTCCTGGAAGCAAATGAAACAGAACATGCTGCCCAGGGCCTGAGTGGACATCTCCGGGGCCATAAATTAAATTAAAGCTCTCAGGGCCACCTACCTTATTATTGCTCCAGGCTGCCCACACCTGTAGGGCCCTGTCCATCAGAAATGTGGGGGTTCTGGCACCCTATCATGGCACCTCCCCAAACTTTGATGGCTCCCAGAGACCTCTCCTCAAACGGGACAGGCACTCCTTTCGTTGAGAACCCAAAGACCTAGAACCCTGTGGGGAGAGGCCCCGACTTTGTCCCCACCCTCCAGGGAGGGCCTCTCACCCCCTCTGCAGGGAGCAGTCACGTGTGGTTCCCTCATTAGGCCCGGTCATATAAGCCGAGGACAGGGGTGACTGGACACTCTTGGGGCAGGGACCCAGCGAGCACAGGTAAGTCCTCCTGTCGCACAGGGACTCCTGCTGGGGTTGGGGACTGGAGGCCAAGGAGGGACCCCCAAGGCTGAGGAGGGACTGAGTGGCTGCACTCCCTGCTCAGCCAGGTCATGCTGTCGGCAATGCTGCTGAGTTGTGCCGTGCTGCAGGCACTGCCCACCATGCAGGGGGCCCACATGGGCCTGGCCCCACTGGAGGGCTTCAGAGGACCTGTTCGAGCCCTGTTCCCAGACTTCCCAGGTCAGTGCAAGGGGGGCCCCCTGTGGGGGTGGGTAGGGCCTGGATACCCTCTGGCCACACTGTCCAATCTGGTGTGAACCTTCCTTTCCTCTTCCTAATCCCAGACCAGTGAGATGTGTGTCTCTGTGTGTGTGTTGGTGGGGGGGGGGGTCGTTGGGGGGTAGGCTGGGAACACAGCACTCATCTCTTGCGCCCCAGGCCCGGGTCTGCAGTCTCCATGGAAGAGGACATCGGCAGAACAGACAGGAGAGCTCCTGCTGGAGGAAGCAGAGGTGTTGGCTCAGGTAACCATTCAAGAAAAGGGGTGACTTTGCCAGGCAGGTCTTGGGAGGAGTCCTTATGCCCCATTCCCACTCCTCCCCCCCAGGCTCCTCTGTACTTGAGTTGGACAACACTGTAGACCCACGCCCCAACCCCCATTCTGTCCCCGCCTCCACCCAACACCCCCTTACACCGGTGGGCCTTCCCCTCACTCACTCACCTTCTGTTCTTTCACGGCACGCCTGCAGGCGCTAGACCCGCAGGGCCGAGAGCAGCGCTCCTCACGTCGTTGCGTGCGGCTGCATGAGTCCTGTCTGGGACACCAGGTGCCCTGCTGCGACCCATGTGCCACCTGCTACTGCCGCTTCTTCAACGCCTTCTGCTACTGCCGCAAGCTGGGTACTACCACGCACCCCTGCAGCCGCACTTAGCTGGCCGACTAAGCAGGGTGGGGGCCTGGACACTGGGGTGCAAATAAAGGCTGGGACCAACCCAAGGCTGCTGTTGTGTTATTATCGAACGCTACCGTCGGGGGAGGGTGGGATGGGTGTCACCGAAAAGTGTTGCCAAGTCAAGACATCCCACACAACCTTGACCCAGGGCCTACACTGCCCTGTCACCTGGAGGCGCCAAGGAGTGCTGCGCTCCCACCCCCTAGAATCTTGCAGCCTTCGTGCAGGAAGTGGGCTTAGGAGCTTTAACTGGGCTCTCGAATTTAATTCAGGCTTAGGGCCAGCTGAGCAGTGAAACCGATGTGGGAATCCCAGTAGGCCTGCTCACTCCCACCGTGGGAAGGTTGACTCAGAGATTCCAAGCTTGGAATCCTTCCAAACACCACCCACTTCCATCTTTCCATCTTAACCCTGCCGGGCCCCTGGAGTGGGAGCGAGACACACTAGATCCGAGAAAGCTGAACTACGACCCACAGCGACGACCCCCTGTGGGTTTCTGAGACTGTAACTATGTACAGGAGTAGAAAGCCCAGTCTTTCTCCCCAGGAGCCGCTCGTGGTTTCGAACTGCGAAGCACACTGACCACAGCCCAATGCGTAACCACTACCCTACCAGGGCTCCCGGGGAGGACCTAATTAGATACCTGCGGTCCCGGGCGCCGCCACGCGGCCGGCCTCGAGCACTGCAAGCCGCTCTCTCGCCGGGGCGCAGGGGGCCGCTTCCCCTCAGTGCGCAGGCGCCGGAGGGCGGGTTCCCGTCCACGCTTGCGCCAATCTTCCGCGGGAAACCTGCCAGAAGCCGGGCACCGCGCAGAGCCCCGCCCAGTGGTGGTCACGTGAGGCGCTTGCGCGTCACCTGACGCTCTTGACAGCCGGCTGCGGCGGGCGCCGCGTCAGCTGATCGTGGAAGTGCGTGGCGTGCGGGCTGGCCGGGCTTTGACGGTCCCGCCGTCCCCTCTGCAGCCATGTCGTCCTTCCCGGAGCTTTACTTTAACGTGGACAATGGCTACTTGGAGGGGCTGGTGCGCGGCCTGAAGGCGGGGGTGCTCAGCCAGGCGGACTACCTCAACCTGGTGCAGTGCGAGACGCTCGAGGGTGAGCCGCGGGCCCCGCTGCGGGAAAGCCGGATGGAGGGCTGGCCGGGAAGCCGGAGTCCTCCAAGGGGCTCCGGGGCCCGGGAGCCCGGCCTGCGGGGCGGTTGGGGGAGGCGGGGGTCGCGGCTGCTGGCCGCGCCCGAAGCCGCTGTACCTCTGCTGCGGCGCGGCGCGGGCCGCGTCCCAAACCAGGCCCGCGGTGGGCCGCCTCGACCTGGGTCGCCTCTTCCCGGGCGGGGCCCGTCGCGTGGTTTCGAAGTGGGCAGTCTTTCGCCTGGTGTGGGCCGTGCCCAGACCAGCCTCTTCACCCTGACGTAGCCGGAGAGCCGTCCCCTGGCGCCGCTTAGGGAAGCTGCTGCGCAGAGAAGGCGCCCACCCTCCCTTCCTATACACCCAGGCCTTTGGGATCCTCGAGCCTGCCCGTCGACCCACGCGTGGGGCGGAGGCATGTGGTCAAGTCCATTTGGCGAGGTTTCCCTCCCAACTCGGAACCTCTGGCTGGCCAGCGTCTCCCGCCTGACCACAGTCCTTGGGAGATCAAGAGTCTGGAAGTTCGTGCACCTGTATTCGGCCAGTAAATCCCAACTCCCCTAGCGTGGGGGTGGGGCGGAGAGAAATAGGACGCTTTCCACCTCATGAGAGAGTTCAAAGTCTCAGAAACCCACAGGGGCCGTTTTACCCGGTCCTAGAGGGTCGCTGTGAAGTAGCATGGACCCGATGGCAGTGAGGTTAGTTCGTCTTTTTAGCCAGCCGCCTGAGAAGCTGGGTTCCTCCTTTCCTTCAGCACACACCACTCTCAAGTGGGGCCCTTCCAATGCCTGCCACCTCCCTCTGCTGGGGTAGCTGTTCAGGGCAGAGAGGCTGGGCTGTGAATTCCTCTCCTCACCTCGTTCCCCAGTGACCCCTTTGATCCCCGGGTACGGGTACGGAGAGCCTTGAATTTGGTAGTTGGAGTGGGGAGAAGAAGGCCGAATGATTCACTTTCTGGAGAAACATTTCGAAACATTTCTCCCCTGGAGTTAAACATAACAAGAAAACAATAACATTAAAAAGTGTGGTGTGTGTGTGTGGGACTGTTTTACATTGTTCACACGGTGGCTATGCCAGGCCAGAAAGCAGCAGAAATAAATACCTTAAAAAAAAAACAAACTTCTTGACTCTGCACTATAATTGTGCAGTGTGTGGCTTTTCAGTCAAAGGTGGAAGAGTAGTGGACGACCTCACTTGTGAGTGGCAGTGAGGCCACAGAGGAGGACGTTTATTTGAGGGTGGTGGGAGGAGGAGAAACAAGGAGGCTGCCTGGGGCAGAGCCTGGCACTTTGTTGGCATGGCGTTGGAGTTCTGTGCGCTCACTGGAGAAGGATCTTCATGTTTCACATCTGGAGGGGAATGTCTTGCTCATCTGCTGGCGTTTGGTGGACTTGTTTCTGTTGGCTTTCCTTACCCCTGATGCTACCTTCAATACCCGCCCCACCCCCGCAGAGCTTCTGGGGGTACAGGTTCCCATCACCGGTCATCCTTCCTGTTGGGCCCCTCTTCCTACAACACTGCTTAGTACATGCCCCACAGGGACCCCATTCACGACCTTTATCATGGCCTCCTTCTCCCTCACACAAGCCATCGCTCTAGTATTTGTGAACACCACGGGGTGGACTTTGGAGTTAGGTAAACCCGAATTTGAATCCCAGCCCTTCTGGGTTATCTGAGGCAAATTCTTCACCACTGGGTCTTGAGTTCATCTATTAAACAAACAGCACCTACTGACTTGCCTCATGAGGGAGATGTGAGAAATCAAACAGCCCAGGCCCCAAGGACAGAGCGAGCACAAGGAAAATGGTAGCTGCTGTTTTCAGCCATCTTTGCACCTGCCGTCCTCTCTGCTTCACCCTCATCCTCACGATTCCCACCCTTCAAGGCCCGGTGCCACCTCCTCTTTGAACCCTTCTGTGACTCTGCCAAACCAGAATGTTGTCCCCTTCACAACTCCTGTGACAGTTGTCTGTGCTGCTTTCCTGGAAGTTTCTTGGCACAGAGCTTGGGGCTCTTGGGAGTCTTGATGCCAGAGATACTCAGGACTTCAGTGAGGGGCGGTGTGTGGGGGGGTTGTGAGGATAACCAGAATCCCCCTTTGTCCTCTATAGCAAAACTTTGGCTTCTGATGGTGGCACCAGAGGTTTCTTCTGGTGGGTGACTTTGCCTCCTTACCCCCAGGGCAAGAAGGATGTGGGAAGGGGAGACCTGGGAAGCCTGTAGTCTCCAGTGGGGTCTGTAGTTGTATCCTGGTGTTTCCAAGGAATGTGGTTTAGGTGTTGGGCATTTCTCAGGAGGCTCAGGGCATTGATGGGGTGTTTGTTCTGCAAGGTATGGGTGTTTGTTCTACCATAGCCTGGCTCCACCTTTCTCATGGTGGACCTGGGCCGCTTAGGACCACTGAAGCCCATCTGGCTCCAAAGATCTCTTTTCTAGAGGAGGGGAAAGAACCTGGGAAGGGCTCCCCTAATCGGTGAGCTGAGGGGACAGAGTTAAGGGGTCACACAAACCTTTTAGCTGTGTTCTGGATGCATCGTGTACCTTCTGGGAACTGGCTCAGAAGAAGAGGGGAGGCAGAGATTCACAACAACGATAAATTAGATTTGTATAGTTGATGTGTGTGAAAAGGACAGTGGAGAAGTATCGGTGAATTCGGGACAACCTTTTCCGGGGAGCCCTGCTGAGGAGCTGCTATTCGAGCTGAAACGTGAAGAGAAGGAGGTAGCCACAGAGAGAGCTGAGAGAAGAGGTTTCAGGCTGAAGGATCAGCATGCAAAGGCAGGAACAGTTTAGCCAGTTAGAGGAATCAAAAGATGTCCATGGGTAGCAAAGTGTAGGGGATGAGGGTACAAATCTTCCTAGAACTTGAAACCTTGGTGTGAAGAAACAAGTCAGGCTGACCACAGAGGAGGATGAGGACAGAGACAGCAATGGCACCAAGCACTTTCTACAGTTGTCATTGGGTGCTGTCCGGTCAGTTACAACTCAGAGTGACCCCAAGTGATCGAATAGAACAGCCCCACCATTTCCTGGCTGTCGTCTTCCTTACAGCAGATGACCCGGGCTTTCTCTCATGGGGCTTCTGGGTGGGTCACACTGCCTACCTGCCGATGCGCAGCCAATCCCCTAACCGTGGCAGCCTCTTAAGGGCCTCCTTGAGGCCACTGGCAAGATTTGGAGTTATTGGATGTGACTGAGCAAGTCAATGTATTGTAGACCGTGCCTGATATATGCAGTGCTGTCTTTTTTTTTTTTCCTTTCCTTTTTGCTAAGGATATTTTTTAAAGCAATTTGAAATGTATCTTGGTGTCTTTTTAATTTTCGTAGTCATTCTCAAAGGGTAAGAATTTTTCATGAAGCAAAGCAACAAACATAATAATCCATGAAGCAGGGGTAATTGATTGGGGGACTTATATGATTTTGCTACTTTTTCTTTTCTTTTATTTACTTATTTATTTTTTGCTTTTTTTTTTAATGGAAGTGAGTGAGTGAGTGAGTGAATGAGTCAGTTTGTGAGAGTGAGTGAGTGAGAGTGAGTCAGTGAGTGAGAGTGAGTGAATAGTGAGTGAGAGAGTGAGAATGAGTGAATTAGAGAGAGAGAGTGAGTGAGTCAATTAATGAGAGTGTGAGAGAGTGAATGAGTGAATGAGAGAGTAAGTGCGAGAGTGAATGAGAGAGTGAGTGAGTGTGTGAGAGAGTGAGTGAGTGAGTGAGTGAGTGAATTAGAGAGTGAGTGAGTGAGTGTGAGTGAGAGAGTGAGTGAGAGTGAGTGATTGAGTGAATGAGAGAGAGTGAGTGAGTGAGTGAGTGAGTGAGTGAATGAGAGAGTTGCAGTGCTGTCTTGATGTTTGTTTGCTCATTCAGGAAACACTCGCCCACAGCCAACTGTGTGCCTGCCCTGGGCCTCATACGAGAACGAGGCAAGTGTCCCAGGCATTGCCACAGTTCTCAGCCTGAACACTCAGCTTTTGCTTTGGATTTAGCCGATGAGTGGGCTTTGGAAAGTTTGTGGAAACAATCCATTATTTTTTCATTCCATTTTCCCACGAGCTTTTTTGAAGCCCCCCTCATGTCAGCATAGCTATTAATCTGTCTAAGTGGATGCTGGGAATTCAAATGTAGGTGAGTCCCCACCCCATCCTCCAGAGTTCCCTTATTCTCTTTTTCTTTTAAGACTGTTTATTATAGACAATGTCAGGCATATGCAAATTAGGAGGAATCATATAATGAACCCCGTAAATACGAAGTACCTGACTTCCAACAATTTTCAACTCTTGCTGATATAACAGTTATCAGTCTTGTTTCAATAATAGCCTACTCATCCCCTCAGTCCACGATGAGTTTCAAGTAAATCTCAGACAGCATGTAATTTCAGCTGTAGCAAGATTCTGACATATTAAAAACAACCACAATACCATTTAAGGAAACACAGAAAGCCCAAACTCATTGCCATCTAGTTGATGGACAGAAAATAGAACGTTCTCCTGGGGTTTCTGTACTGCAGCAGACTGCCACGTCTTGAGGAGCTACTGGTGGTTTGAACTGTCAGGCTTTTTGGCCACCAGCCAAGCTGCCTAGCCCTAACCACTGTGACACCCGGCTCCTCACAATACTCCTAAAAAAAAATTCCTTAGCCTAATGCCCATTTAGATTTGTTTAATTGTCACCAAATCAAAAATAATTGGTTGACATTCCCCTATTTCAGGAAGTTGCATATGATTAGGGAAGTACTGAAGGGAGATCTTCAAACGGAGGCCTTGGTGAAAGCAGGGCTCCAGGGATTGAGGAGATGCCAGTTGTGATGTTTCTAGCAGTGCTAGAACACTCGTCTCTGCCAAGAAACTTGGAAGACAACTACCTGGCCAACTGTTTTAAGCAGATCTCATAAAACACAGAGGCGGCTCTGTACTGCTGCGGGTCTAATCCCTGCCGTCAGCAGTAATACAGGTCTGTAGTGACAGAGGTTCCAAC